ACGGCAAGCCGGGGGGGGGGGGGAGAGGAGCCGGCTCCATCGCCCACAGAGCCAGCGGCACGGCAGGGCAGCAGCAAGGGCTGGTTTTCCTTCCTTCCCTCCTTCCAGAGAGCGAACGCCTCTGGTCGGGGCTGTCTCCCTCTGGCCGCCAGCCCCGTCCTCAGCCCTTCTTAAACTCTGCAGGAACCGCCCCCGCGAGCACCAGCCCTGGGGCCTCCGTGAACTTTCCTGCCCGAGGGGTATTTCCAGAGGGAGGTTTCTGATTTTCTTCCCAATTCCGCTCTTGCACAACACCCAGCTCTGCAGCCGAGGGCCACCCTAGCAGCCCCAAACCTGGCAGAGCCCATGCTCCGAAGGGTCCCCGCGTGGCTGCAGGGGCCCCCATCACCCCCACCGGGCAGCCCTGCACAGGCACCTGCACCCCAAGATGCAGCCCAGATCCTGTCCCTTCCCCAGTTCTCCGTGGGCTCCACTGTTCCCCCCCCGTCCCCAAGCCATTTTTATGCCCCAAGCAGCAGCAGCTGAAATGGACTGCTGTGGGGCTGGCTGGGGATGCCAGGCTGTCGGAGGGGCTGTCTCAGACCCCCTGCCCCAAATGCGGGGCCAGGGTCCATGTTTAACATCGCCGATGCACACGGCTGCCTGCAGCTGGCACGCGGGGCGGAGGGAGGGCAGCCTGGGGCTGCGGCGTCTGCCCAGCGCACGTCCCACCGGGACCCCTCTGGGAACGCGACCTCGGGAGCGGGCAGCTCCATCGCAGCCCGGGCAGCGGCACGAGGGCACACAGGAGGAACCCAGCCCCGAGCCCCAAAATGTGGGGTTTGGAAAGGGGGATCCCCAGGGCAGAGGTGCCAGGCGTGGGTGCCACTCGGCAGGGCTGCAAACACCACTTGCTCCCAGAACAGGGTGTTTTCAAGGATAAAGAGGGGTGTTCCTGGGAGGGACGGTTTTATGGTATAGAAGGAGAAAGCGCTCCCACATGGAGGACATGGATTACCCCGCATTACGCAGCCCCAAGGCCCTGGCACAGCCTCAGCGCCTGTCCTCCATCTCACGCCAGGGCTGGCATCGCTTCCTTGCTCCTACCCAGCTCCCTGGGAAGAGGTTCTGCCCCATCCCATCCCCTCCCATCGCACGCTGGGCTGCAGCCGGGGAAGGTGGCGAAGGGCCAAGGGAGGGGACGTGCCGAGCCCTGCACCTCCTGTCGCAGAAGGTGGAAAGTCGGCCCAGGAGCTGTCCGTTTCCCATCCGGGAACTCTCTGGAGAGGCAGCTCCAGGCACTGGCCACGCCGTGCATCCTTTTGGGAGGCCAGGCAATTAATCCTTTGATGGTCCAGGAGGCCTCCAAGCAAGGGAAGTGCTCTGTAAACAGCCACCATCAAATATGCACATTCAGCTGAAGCCGGGTGATTAATGACTCCGAGGTTTTTGTTCCCTCCATCCTGTGTTAACAGAGCCACTTCCCGGAGTTTCCAGTGTTTTCTGGAGCCCCCAGCCCAGCCCTGGCGTGGGACAAGCTGTGGCCAGGGCTGCTCCCCACGCCAGCCAGGCTCTTCCCAGCAGCAAGCCTGGGACACCCGAGGACACGCAGACGATGCCAGGGTTTGTGTAGGGGAAGGGAAGGCCGGGGGGGGCCCCGGGGGGGGGGGGAAGCAGCGCAGTGGTGCACAGAGGGTGCCATGAGTTATTTCATTAGGGGACAGATTGCTTCGAAACGTCACCAGGTAAGAGTCTGAAGAAGGGAAATGCCGTCCTCGCAGCCCATGCTCACTGCTGCAGGATTTTGGGGCAGGAGGGGCAAAACACAGTTAAAAAAAAAAAAAATGATCCAAGCCCCAGAAGGTGCCCTTGGCTGGGGTCCGGTGCAGCTTTCGGCTGGGGGTCCTGCAATGACGGACCAACACCGACAGGGCCTGAGGGGATCGGTCCTGGCCTTTCGGTGCCCACCGGCTGCACCGTCCATGCCCAGTGCCGGGGGCTGTGGAGCTGCGCGACCTCCACCTGTGAGCAGCCACGGCTGGGGGGGACCAGACTGATGTTCCCGTGAGAGGCAGCTCTCCACGAGCCCTCGGCATCGCACCCCAAGCCCCTGGGTGCCCCTCAAAGTGATGCTTCTGGTGAGGAAAACCCCCCCCATAAATCAGTGTCTGAACTGGAGCCGAGCGCTTCTGGAGCAGGACTCTTTTAAAAAGCTTTCCCGGACTAGTCATCAAGGAGATTAATAGCTACCAGAAAGTCCAGCGCCTCAGGATGTACTTCCTCCAGTTTGGGACTTGCAGAGCACTTGAGATCGCAGGCGCCCAGGAGCTGTCCCCAATTCTGCTGCCCCAGCTTCTGCCTCATGGGCAGACGGGCAACACGGCTCGCAGAGGAAATCAGTTATGGAAGCCCAATAAACCTCCAGTTCCATGAGGGCCAGCTCCACGGGTACAGTTACCGAGCCAGGGAGAGGGCAGGGGACTCGTCCGACCTCCGAGTAACGTGGCAGCGAGCCCCCAAGGCTTGCAGGTTCCACCCCGAGCTCCCCCTCGCCGTGACACACCGCAGCTCGGGGTCTCCCCTCGGACAGACTCGGAGGATCTTCCCTCCGTCCCGGAGGCGCGCAGAGGCAGCTCCCCCCACCCCGAACACAGCAAAGGGAGAGCAACAGGGCACAGACGCGGGGCGGAAGGAGCAAGCTTAAGCACCAGGACCATTTTCCACCCAACAGGAAACCTTCCAGGTCAGAGCGAAGGGATCGATGGTTTTCAAGGAACAGAAGCCTGAACACCTTTCCTGGAAGGCGATGGCGCTTCCTCCTGAGGGGCAGGGGCAGGGGGCTTGTGCTGGGCAGCGCTCCGTCCAGAGGCCTTTCTCAGGAAACAAAACAGCTCAGCGGGGAGACACAAAGCACAGCGGGATGGGCGCTGGCCCCGGCACAGGATACCCCGGCCCCGCCGGCAGCAGCAGCAGAGCCCCTTGGGCTGGGGTGGAGCCCCGGGCTGTCACCACCAGCACTCGCCAACGCCCGGTGTCAGACCTGACAAGGGCTGGAGATGCTAATGAGGTCGACTGCAACAAGATTAAGGTTTTCAGGGGGCAAAACATGGGAATGCCACCCTGGGGAGGCTCGTCCCGCAGACCAGCTCTGCCCCTCGCCCAGCGGCACGGCTGTGGCTTCCCCATCGCCGCCCGAACGACCACCGCAGCGAGAGGACGTCCCACAGCATCCTCTATTGAAATACCTTCCCTTTTTTATCCAGGGACAAAGTGAGGGTGCTTTCTCAAATACAGATAAAAAAGATAAAACTAAGCTCAAGTCCTGAGGAAATAAATACAGAAGGCGACATCTCATCTACTGGACAGCTTGTGTTTCCAGCTCATTACAGGATATCGGCCATAAAGCACCAGAGCCCATCCAAGAGCTGACAACAATATGATGACATTGTTCACTTAGCACTGTACTCAAACGCCAAAAGAAGTGCTTCAATGAGTAAGATAAGATCTAAATTAAGCCTGGCTGGAAACGAATGTGACAGTCTGGGGTGCTAAAACCAGCCCTGGGAGGAAGCTCCTGTGGGGAGGCAGGAGCCAGGGACCGGGCAGCCCCATCCCAGGCGACGCAAACGTGCTGGGAAGTC